CAGGCCGTGTACAGACAGAGAAGAGTGGCTGCATGACTCAGGAGGTGTTTTCCAGTAGAAGTCATTCTTACTCCTGTAATGCCGAGAATTGGTAAATGTATGAATAACTTGAACAAAACCAGCTTTAATTATGCATGAATGCCGATCAGTCTGGACATAATTTTGGCTGACTAGCGCTCAAAATTTAACATTATTCTCTGAATTTTAATAACTCAACGATTTTATCTCAAGTTATATTCTAAGAGCAGTGAGGTACTGCAAGGAAATTGGCCTTGATGCTTATCTGAGCACTGTAAATGAGTATAGACTTGCATCTATAACATTAGGGAGATTTTCCCTCCCCCTGTGTTGTAGAGCTGACACTGCTTTATCTTTTAATGCTCAAGTCAAATGAATTGAGTTCCTGTTACTTAAAAGCCTTAACTTTTCCCACTTCCACCATTGCTCATCCATGACAGATGAGCTCCCCTCTCACCAGTTTACCTAAAGAAGCATCAAAGTGTCAGCTACTAAACCCCAGAGTGCTTTTATCAGAAACCATAACTGAGAATTTCTATTTCTATAGAAAATACGGTCAACCTTAGTTATTAAAATATGTTGTAACACGTGTCCGGGTGTCTGGCCACATTTCATACCTCCCTGGACAAGAATGTGTGCAGCTGACTGCAGGCAGCCCGGGTGTGCTTGGAGAACTTTGTCTGGCATTGCAGCTGTGCAGGGGCTTTAAGCAACAGCAGAGAGGCAGGCAGAGAGTTGCAGAGACAATGCAACTGAAATTCACTCCTAGGTAGCCGTAAGTGTTGAAAGAAAACCGTATGAATACGTTGACAGGGTGGAGATATTGTTTCAAGGCAGAAAATCTGAACAAGCTGGACTTTGGTCCTCTTGACAGAGACTTGACAGTGAGCATGGAGTCGAACGCTTTAAAGTAGCAAAAGGATGTTAGGCTTCATACAAAATCAAAGGCAGGATGCTTGTCCTTGTGAGTGCAAGGAAAAGGCTTGCAAACAGGAATGCAATGCAGAAAAAAGCTCAGAAACCAGAAATCTGGAGAGGGCAATAATGACACTGTGAGTATTCCCAGATGGAACCATTCACATGCTGGAAACATGCAGGCTTACAGGCCAGGACCCGCTCTCTTTGAATAACACCCTCTGCTTCTCCCCTACCCCAAAACATAAATTCTCATTTACAGTGTTGCTATAGTGACTTGTTTCTTTGATAAAGCTTCTTTACTTCCTTACAAAGCGAGGTCCTCAGCCTTCCCTGACAAGTGTGTGGGTTTGGACTGAGGGCATGAATTAAAATGACTTTCTGGGTACTGCATTCATTGCATCTGGCGCTGCTGAGGTAATAGAGAGAGGTCGTTAGCTTTCTTCGTTAAATTGTACCAGGAGCAAAGCAAACTACGGAAATACTCTGAGGGGAGCAACATAGCACTAAAAAATTATAACAGTGCTCAAATAGTTTGGAAATAGGAGGAACAACTGGGGAAGGTTTAAAAGGCATTTTATTCTGTGTCAACAATGGGTGCTAGGGAAATGCAAGCCAGTCCAAAGGTAGCTTTGTTTTTGACAATGGATTTTGGAGTCTCAGTGGTTTCTGTAATATCCAGATATCTCTGGCAAGAAACTCCTGTATAAAAATCTGAAGTACATTGAGCTGCATGGAAGATGGTACCATCACAGAAGATGCTGCAAAGAGGGATTGCTTCCTCTTAGTGCAGGCCAAAGGGTGACAAAAGCAGCATTAGACCAAAGAGCTTTTCCGTATGGGCAATGGACAAGGTTGTGCTCCATTCAGTGGACAGATGCAACTCTTATTATTATTATTATGATTTTTAATTGGACACAGGTGAATAAGCAAATGTAGTGGGAGCAATGATGAGAAAAGAGCCAAGGCTGCAGTGGGGGTGCGCGAATAGAAATTGGGTACTGGTTTGTGACCCGCTTTCAGCATGATGATCCAAGCAGCTGCAGTCTTCAAAGGCCTTTGTAGTGTCCAGTGCCACCAGGAGAAGCTGGATGGGGGGACCTGAGTGACCTCAGGGTCTGCTCCTTGGCCTTGCCTGATGGCTCTGAAAATTGCACAATGGGGCACCATCCACCAGCTCCTTGGGGACCTTCCAGTAGCAGGAGGTACTGCTGGAGTGCTTTATCTACTATCTGCACTCTGTTTTCCCATCAATTCATTTTTGAGCCTGTAATCTCTTGAATCCTTCAATTTTATTCTTTTTTTTTTTTTTTTTTTTCATTTGTTTCCACCCATACTAGTTCTTTCTCCTTGTGGTTTCTTTTCTACTCAGCCTTTCTAGGTGTTGGAGGCTTTTCTCTGTGACAAAATTGTCCACCAGAGTTGATAGGCACTTGTAACCGAGCAAACTTCTCGTTAGTGATCACTGTTGATCAAATCACTAGTTTATCCCTGAGAAGGCTGAAACAACTCTCTTTTATAAATTGGTGTATTGGATTTTCTCTGCTACTGGAATTAATTTCTGATGGCAATTATGTTTCCACTTAAAAATAATTATCTTTATCTGCTACTTAGAAAATATAAATTAGGCAGTTCTCTTTGACTAGATATTCTCAGGAGCATAGGGAAGCTAAACTCACTGGTATTGAGAAGATTTCCTATTTATTAGTTTAAAAATTGGCTCTGTAATCTGTCTAGGAATGTCTGGGGAAAAATAAGAATTTATGCTTACGGAAAAGCGTATATTTCATTTTCTAACAAAATGCATCATTTAATTCTAACTGATCTTAAGCATGAATTCCACAAGCAGAGATCTCAGTGCTTTATTTCCATTTTTCCATTTAAAATGTCTTTTTTTGTTGTCAGTCCCTATTTGCTGTCATCAAGCAGAAACACAGCTCTACCAGTTCCCCGCTCCCAGTATCAAACTTACTCAATTGCACAGGTCCCTGAATAGGTACAAAATAAGCTGTTACAAAAGCTGAAAGTCATCTACAGATACTTCAAAGACTTTTTTTTTCAAATGTGTTTAAATGTTTTGAGAGCTTCTTTAATACAAGAGTAACCTCTAGCAAAATTTATTAACCTTTGATTTATATTCCTCATTTGATTTGCATTCCTTTTCTAAGTTATCAGTTTCTAATTTAGTTTTTCAATTTGGTTCTCTGAAATAGAGATATGGGACCAGAGTCTCAGCTGATGCAAACTGGCTTTTGCTAGTTCCCAACATCTGAGAATCTGGCTTCTTACCTCTTCTATGAATTTTCCCAAGTGCGATGTTATTGTTTTCATTCAAGAGCTTTATTATCAGTTGCAATAAGAGATAGCAACATCTGGCATTAACTTCATCTTGCTGTGACAGGCAATTGCTAGTTCTGAATGCAGCTGTGAACAAGCACAATATTGTTCACTTCAGTTGAGCAACATTTGCTTTTAGCATAGCAAACTGTCAACGGAGAGTCCAAGAAAAATTTGGGTTTAACATTACTGAGGTGATGCTCTGTACTGCTTCACAGCTGTGGTCATTTCAGACAGTATTAAGGAGATCCTACCTTCCCCACTTGTGTTTGCAAATCCTATAAAGCAAAGCAACCCATCCTTCCTCTCAAAAAAAATGGATAAATGCCAAGAAAGAACAAACAAATATGAATCTGACGAATATGGAAACTCTTCTCACTGGAGGTCTGCCTGCGTTCAGCATTAACCATTAATCCTAATGGTTTGTGCTGGTGGGAGTGGATCAATGGTCCTTTAAAAGGCATGACTATGCTCAGAACAATTGTCTTAGAGGAAAAATTATCCAGCAGCCTTTCTTCAGAGCAGTTCCAATTTTGGTGTGTCGAGTCATATCTGCCAATTATAATGCAAATATCTTTTTGTCTTATTGGTCCTGCTAGGCTGGAAATACTTTGAGAGAGATAATTTAAGTTCTAGTCTTTTCCATGTGTTGTTAGTTTTACAAAGTGTCAGATATGAGGCCAAGCATCAGACCTGGGAAAAGGCCTTGATGGCATCACTGCCCTTGCCACTCCAAGAGCTTTTGCAACTGGCCAAAGGAGTTACCATGGAAGGGTTGCAATCTGACTGACTGCACAGTGCAATTAAGGGCTGACTAAAACCATTGGAACAGGCTTGTGAGAAGCAAAACGAAGGAAAACAAAGATGAAGGAGCTGAAGAAAGAAGTAAAGTGGTAGGGCCCATGCTGGGCACTGACTACTACCCATGAAGTTTTGCAGAAGCTTTCTGGGTGAGGCTGAGATGGAAAGAAAAACAGAATAAAGCAAGCAAGGAGAGAGCCCAAATTGTTAGAGAAGATGGTCATGTTTTAGCAGAGAAATGGTATCTAAGAGATAGCGAACATTCACCTAATTCTGTAACAGTATGTCCAATATAGCACTTGACGTTTTTTAAACAGACACTTTGGAGAAAGTGGTGGTGCAGCATAGCTGAAAGATCCACAACAAGGGCATTTTTTTTTTAGCTGAGATGCCATTACTGGAGCTGCAATTCAGATTCAACTTTCTGTGACATCAGGTGGCTCCTGCATCCACTGTTCTGTGGTGGACTTATCAGCAATGTGGGCTAACACTGAGGCAATAGAGCCAGGGCGACTGCCACTAATTGCTGGAAGAGAAGAATAGGGCTCATATGGCTGGTCTACAACAGGTTCAGAACTGTAGGCTTTCAACTGAAAATGTATTTTCTCTTTTGCAATCATGAGAAGGATGCTGAGTGTCTCCTTCAAGCTGAAGTCCTGGTTTTGTTCAACAGTAGTTTTAAATTAACTTCATTATAAGTGGGAGTTTGATGGTTTCTTTTCTTTTAGTGCAGAGATTTGTCTGTTTATTTAAGATGGCTTCTTCTGTTCATCTGCTGCTAATTAGCATCAATCATTAACCGGTCCAGAGCTTGCAGCTCTATTCATTTAAATGATTGTTAATGGGAGCTACACCCATTGAGACATTGGGTTAAATGCCAGTTTAATGAGTGCATGTTAGTTATTTCACTGTAACTGAAGAGAGTTACAGTGAAACATTGAGAGAGGTAAAGATTTCTCTCCTTTCTCACTAAATGATTTGCTGAAACTGTGATTCTGAGTATATTCAGTTAAAAGAAAACCCATCAACACTAGGGGGACCCATTAAGAAAATGGGAGTAAGAGAAATAGAAGAAAATCTTACAAATGAAGTTAGGCAAGAACATGAATATTTAGCTATTAGAGCCAATCTTTAGTTTTATTACAAATTTTCAAAAGCTGGTTTCTTCTAAAAGGTGCCATTTCAACAGTCTTTCTCCACTGAGGCAAAGCAACTGTGCCAGCCTCTCTTCTTGAATGACACCTTGCAGATTGAACCAGGCAGCTCCAGAGCTGAAAGCCTGAGCTGCTATTGCATGCCAGCTTGCTTTGCCTGGCTTAGTAGCTCAAAACCAGTGAGTTATGCAAGCTCTCAACCCTCCCTTCTTGAAGATAAGCCTTACCCTGCTGGTGTCCTCAGCTGGAGATGGAGAACAGTGCTGCTGGCTGGCTGCTTTGTGTTCCTATAAGGAATCCTGACACGTGGCAGCGGGCACATGGCAGCCATCCGGTCGCGTTTGCCCAGCTGTAGGACTGCGATCCCAATAATTCTTCTCCACCCGTACTCTTCCTAGGAGTTATGTAAGTAGGAAATTGGAAGCGCATGAAGCCAAAAGCATGAAAGAATACAGAGCAGATGAAGTGAGAGATTTTGTCTTAAAATAAAATGTTCTCTTCTGTTTCTGTTTTAGACTTTCTCCAGTCCAACTGGCATTCCCTTGCCTGCCTTCACCAGTCTGCAGTGGCTCTTGCCAAGCCAAGTCTCTGTATGTGCCTCTGCCCTCACTGACCTGCAGCAGCTCTTGATGCCATTGACCATACCCTTTTCCTGGGAAGTCCTTCTCCCTGAGCGCCTCTAACTTATTTTGAATCACATTTTGTGATATTGACACATTTTTTGTCACATTTTGAATCCCATTTATTACCTTTTGTCACGTTTCAGATCACATTTTGTCACCTTCTGACCCTCCTCCAGCTTCTTGTGAGGATGCTACGAGGACCTCCTCTTACTCATTTTCTCTTTGTCTCTTGGCATTGTTATCCATGAACACAAATTCATCTTATCACATCTATGCTGATGGGTCACACACTTACCTGCTTACTCCAGGCTGTTTTATTCTGTCCAAACAACGGCCTTAGGTTGCTTTTCTGGCAGGTCTGACTTACATGTAGTTAGTTATCAATTCAAGTCAGCACAAAGACATGAGATTATTGAATATTTTCTTGCATTCCTTCTTTATGTGGATGTGGTCTTTTTGTAACTGCAGCATAACTAGAAGTCTTATTCTGTCTCTCATCACCTGGCATCTCACTGACTGCAAGCTTCTTTTCTCCAGTGTTTGCACATGTAACTTTCTCCTGTTTAAATCAATTCAAATTCATTTTTCTACCCCAGTACATTGACACTATCACCTCCTTCCTGCAGTCTTCTGTTACTTCCCCTTTCTCTGTTTATACAACACAATCTTGTTTTCACTTTGAACAACCTTCTTGTCTCATCCCCACATGGCTTGTCACCTCTTGTTCGCTTCGAAATGTCAGCTTCCATCTTTGATGGGCTGTGGATGCCAGCTCCCTTCCTCTTGTTGTTACATCTTCAAATCATCACCTTTCCCATGCTTACCATCATGTTTGGAAGGAGCTCTCTGAAATGGCAACAAAGCAACTTTCAAGTCATTTCAGAAATCTCTCTTGTGATGCCTTACAGGAGCCGTGACAAGTTGATACTGTGCCAAGGCGGATCATTTTCATGCTGCCTGATATTCTTTGTGTTCCCTGGCCGGATGGGAGGCTCTGATGTTTTCTGTTTCAAACAGGGATCCTCTCTTTGTGTCTTCTACCTCAATAGGCACTCTGTCCATGATCTGAGGGACACCAAGCTAAACCTTATTTCATTTTAGGCACAGATGAGGAGCTGTCTCAAGCCTGTGCCATTTTGTCTTCTTCCTTCCTCCCCTGCCCCAATTGACACTACAGCTTTGTTCATCTGAGCTTCATAATAGTGGTAATTTAAGAAAGATGAGGCCCCTTGTCTCCTAGAAAGAGAGAATCACCTGGTGCAAAACACATCATTTGTTTGGCTACAGTTTTCCATGGCTTCTGCTGGAACCGAGTCAGGTAGGAGTAAAAAATGGGTTTTGCACAGCAGTGAAGATGTCTTTGCAGCTCATCTGGTTGGAGCAAATGACCTCTGAGGGACTGGTTCCTACAGAGGTAGTTTTCACTTCATTTGCCCTTCAAATGGAGGCACAGGACCTGAACACGTGTGCAGCTTAAAACACAAGATTCTTTTCAGAAAGTCTGTGATTTTGTCCTGAACAAGCAGGAGAGTACAAGCATGAGGCAGATAGATGACGTGTCCCTTAAAAGCTTTATTGCAGGACCATAATCTTTTTATATTCATCATCACCTTGCAACCTTGCATTTGGTCTTAGGTACAACTCTTTTTATTTTTATTTTTATTTTTATTTTTATTTTTATTTTTATTTTTATTTTTATTTTTATTTTTATTTTTATTTTTATTTTTATTTTTATTTTTATTTTTATTTTTATTTTTATTTCATTTTATTTATGTATTTATTATTTTCATTTATTATTATTTTTTTCCCTGAGACTAGCCAGTGATGATTGCAAAAGGCTGGAGATGAATCCAAACATGATCAAAGATTATATGCACACAGGAATTTTGCCCCCATTTCAAGGCAGAAGCCCACATCTTCACAGCATACTCAGGGCACTGGCCCAGCCCCATGCTGGCTGGGTGCTGCAGCTCAGGGTGTGTCATAAAGGTGCTGCCACTGACTGATCCTAGAGAGTCTGAGGTAGAATGCCAGTATGTCATATTTCTAAACAGGAGAGAATTTCAGAAGGAGTCACCTTTATAGAGGGTGTGAAAGAAGGAGGGAGTCCTTCATAAATTGTTTGCATAAAGGAAATAGAGGGAAAAATCTCTGAAATTGCTTCAGGAATACAGCACACGAATTCTGACTGAATTTGGTGGGCAAGAGTCTAAATTATGTATTTAGAGGAAAATCCTATTAAAATGGAACTATGAGTCTTCTTGCCTTTTTAAAGTTAAGTCATCTCTTTGTTATCTACAGACTGACAATGCCACTTGGGTTTTATTGACCAGTGTGTCTTGATCTGCCTGATGACATTTCCCAAGATTAATGTGTCTGTTTCTTGACAATGCATATGCGTCCTGATGCATCACAATTAACCACTGCTACTTGGTATTAAAAGGAGGGACTCTTTTTATCTGCAACTGCATGACTTCTATCTGCATTTCAAATGGCAAGTAAACAGACAGGTCTCCTATCCACTTTTCTCATCTACCTTTTTTGAAGTGAAGAAAATTTGAAATTCATGCTTAGGTTCCCAGTAAAATGCAACATATTTTGGAGAGCAAATTGGACTGGAAATATAAATAATAGAAAAACACCAATCAAAACCCACGATGTATAAGATACAGGACACACAAACATCTCTCAGTATTATAAACACTTGACTTTATAGCTTTTATTTATTTGTGTTGGTAGAAATGTCAAATTAATATTTATGAACTCTCAGTAGTGTATTTGTTAGGGTTTTGTTTATTTTCAGTATAAATTGTCAGACTAAAGCTGTTATTCAGGACTGTCAAAATGTGCTTTTTAAGCTCGATGGGAGTTTCACATTTTGGCTCAATTCTGCACTGATGTACCATTATGCTTACCTTAAAGTTGTGAGTGATCCATTTGTCTTTAACATGACTGTTCACACACATAAGTTGAAACTTGTGTGCATTTGCCTGAAGTCACACAATTTTTTTTTTTTCTGTAATAATTCTACAAACATCTCAGGAAAAGGCTGCTAGAATTTTTTACTGTTTTAATTAAGCTCAGTAGCTGAACATAAAACAGTAATGCAGATTCAAATTTACCCAATCCTTGTTTAAATAACTTTGGCAAGATTTGTTAATTTTTTTGGATATCACATGACATAAGATGAATTTGGATTTTATCAGTGCTTGGTTCCTCTAAAAGGATTCCAGCAAATGTGGAGACTAGAAATAGAAGTGTCCTTGGCACAAATGGCTATTTTCTCACAGTCTATGGGATGCAGATTTCTCTGCCCATGCTATGGAGACCTCCAGCAGCTACAAGGTGATGATGATTAGATATTCTCACTTTTAAACTAGAAGAGGCATGAAACAATGTTCTAAACATGAAATATGCTTGCATATATGTTGAGAGAGAATCCATATTTGCAACCCATTTAATACTTTTTTTGGAAAAGTAAAGATGGAGTTTAAGAAATGTTTTGAGCATTATGGTGTTAACTTATTTTCTTGCTTTGTTCTTTATTTCCTTCCATATATCATTTTCTCACCCCTGAAAATTTTATTTGCTTCTTGTATTTATAAGGTCCCTTGGTGACAGCTAATTTTCCTTTCTCCAGGGAGTATTTCAGCTGAACCTTGGTATTCTGAATGTGTCTAATGTATCTGAATAATATAATCTATGTCACAATAAAAACAAGATAAATGTCACAACTGGTATATTTTTAATAGGCATGGTTGTGGCATCATTGTAGATGGTGAAGTGAAGACTCCTGTTTGTGCGCATTCGTAATAGGAAAGGTTGACAGGATCTGAGATTCCTAAAGAGTAGGATGGCAAAAACACAAAGGACATTACAAAGTCTTTTACATAAATGAGTTGTTGAAGCCTATTTTAATACTGTTCAGGAGTGGCCATTTTATTGCAAGAAAGAGATATCTGAGCTGTAGGAGCATGATAGAGCTGAATGAACTGTAAGGTAAAGGGTACAGAAACACTCAGATATGAAAAGTGATTGAATGGACTGAGATTTTTAATTTAGGAAAGGTACAAAGAAGAGGGAAATGGATAAAAGGATGCAAAACCACATGAAAGAAGGAAAGAAGTTGGATTCTTTTTTTTGTTCTCTTGGCATAACAGAGGCTATTTACATAATTAAGAACTGAAAACTGGGAAACTATGGAAGTGATTTTTTTTTTTTTTAAACAATGGAAAGTGGCCACAGGAAGAAATCAAAGCCAAAAAAGTAAACAAAGACAGTGACTGCATATTTTATGTGTACATCAAAAACATCCAGACTTACTGTTGAGGAAAGGAATCTGAAATGTCATGCCTCATGGGTTGAGCCTGCCACTGGCAGGGACAAGGATGGGTACAGATCATCTGCCCATCAAGAAGTTCTTATGCTGTTCGTAACAAGTGTCTGACTGGTCACAGTCAGATGCTGATCATAGTAGAGACTGGACCAGCATGTCAGTGGTCTGATACCATGTTGTAATTCCTATGAAAGATTTAACACGAAATCACTAGTGTGATGTGAAACTGCTTGAGTGAAGAACTTGATTTTCCTGTGGTATAAATTAATGAAGTACACTCACAGTGTATGTATATAAGTTACTATATTTGGGTGGGTGTCATGATAGCCCTCTTCCAAAGACAAACAGAATCACACAATGTTCTTGAACTTTTAGAGTGATGAATTGACTTGCTACTCTATTTAATCAAATACTAAACTCAGAAAAAATACTCTAAAAGAATTAAGGACTTCATTTGACCTATATTTTTTGTCTCTGAGAAGTGGGATATGAAGTTAAGAATTTAACCAACAATTGCTGAACTTTGGTTCTGCCTCAGTCTTTTAGTTTTTAAATTATTTTTATACTTAAGAACAAAATGCTTAGTCTATGGGTCTGTCTCCACACGTATAACATGGCCAACACTTCTGAGGCCCAGAATCAGAGATTTGTAATTTAGGCATGGCAGATGGAAATCTAAATTTAATCCCACGTTTTTTGTTTTTTTTTTTTTTTTTTTTTAAAGCATCTTTAAAACAATTTTGATAGCTTTTCCCACAAAACCATTAGATTGTGGACAATCTGGATTTGAGGTAATGTGCTAAAATTTTTGCAACGTGTTAAAACTCATAACAATGACATTGTGATAAATAATTCTGAAATTATTTATTTTTAGCATATGTGGATGCTAAAAGGACCATGATTTTATATCTAAAATCTTTTACATGCTCATGTGTATATGTGAAGCTACAGATTTCATTTTCATATTTTCTAATAATGCTATTTCTATATGATGGGAATAGTCACAAAATAAATCAGGACAAGGATATTTCTAGCATGGAAAAACATCTTAATATCTACATAGAACTACAATTTATAGAATTATCATCATAGATTGTTTTGTCAGACTTTTTTTTTTTTTAGTTTCATATAAACCTAATATTA